AAAGCTTCAAATGGATATTGGTTCCTTTCACCCAATCCTAGTACTGCAGCATTATCTTGGGGGCTTAGGGGTGCCTTCCCATTTTGCAGGGGGCACCTGCCAAGGGAGGAGAAGAAGCTTTGCATGGAACTTAGCAGAGCAGGAGGTTCTGCTTATCATCGGGCTGGTGTCTACTTTATGCACTCCTTTGCTAAGAATAATAATAATAATTAAATGGAGGGAAAGGGACAAGAGACGCAGGGTGCAAAAACCTGGAGTTTGAGCTCCCTTGACCACCACTAATAGCACTCCTGCACTGGAGGCTGGCCCATTAGGGCACCGCTCCACCAACCTCAGCCAGCCATCAGTTGTCAGGCTTCAGGGAATTGGCTTCCTCCCCCCTTTGGCATTAGATAAACAGAACAAAGGAAAAGGAGTCTTCTTACCAGTTAGAAACTTTAATGATCACAACGAGAGAACAAAGAATCCATTTCTTAAGAATGAAGGTGCTCCCAATTAAGGGTTTCACCCACTTCCTCCCTGGTCACCCACATCACTACCATGTCTTGAAACCTGAGCTCATAACCACTGTGCTTTCTGTGCTGCCACCTTGTCTGCTCTTCTTGACCTTGGGCTGAGCAGATGAATACTTTGCAGAGACAGTGAATCTGTTAACTCTCTCTCCCCCAGTGCTTCTTCTCCATCCAGTATTTCCCAGCTTCTGCCTTCTGAACTGTGCCCCTCTGCAAACCACTGTTCCAAATCTATACTGTCCTCCTGCTCCTGGGAAGATTCAGGATCCTGATCAGGAGCAGGGGGAGGCTGCCATCATTCCTCCTCAGAGCAGCCCTCCTCAGCAAGGGCTCTGACATCAGCCAACCCCCAACCTGCCTGTCTTCTTACAACCGATCAGAATGGCTCTGCCTGTCGTTGGGTCTGGCTCCACCTGTTGGTCCCTCTGGCTTCTGTCCTACCAGCCCCAATGGGCACCAGTCACTCCCAGAATTACAGCTTCCAGTAAGTAAATAAGTAATTAAATGAATTTAATTATTTGTACTCTGGCCATCTGTCGGGATTGCCTCAGCCACCTCTGGGTGGCTTCCAGCATATACAAAAACACAATAAAACATGAAACATTTAAAAACTTCCCTCTATGGGGCTGCCTTTGGATGTCTTCTAAAGGTTGCATCCCCTTGACATCTGATGGGAAGGTGTTCCACAAGGTGGGCACTGCTACTGAGAAGGGCCTCTGCCTGGATCTCAGTGTCCGGGATGAATGACAGGGGTGGAGATGCTCCTTCAGGTATACAGGGCTGAGGCCGTTTATCCAAGTACCTGCAGACTGGGGAAGGACGCTACAAGAACATTCTTAATACCTGGAATGGCTCATCCAGATGGCTCTTCGCAGTGCTTTGCCATGCCATGGAGAACTGCATCCCCAGTCGGGATCATGATAGTGACCTGAAAAGTGTCAGAAGCTTTTGGTTGGCCAGTCTGAGAAGAGGATTCTGGAATAGATGGGCCTTCGACCTGCTCCAGGAGGGCTTTTCTCATGTCCTTATGTGCCCTTGCTCAACGGGGCAGGGTGGAGAAGGCCTCATGGGCAAACCATCAGCTTGGCTGGACGACATCAACTCACTTCCCACCTTGGAACCATCAGCCATCCCTGGTCTTTTCTCTTGAAGATGCCCTCAGTCTGGCTCGCCACATCTCCCCTCAATGTATTGACCCCATCCTTTACACACTGTGAGCGGCACCGGCGACTTTCTCTCCCCCTTTAAACATTCTTACTTTGCCTGGGATTAAAATGTGATTAGAAAGGATTTAGCCACTTTGGGGCATGAAATATTAACAACTCATTTATTTCTGTGTGTCTGGTTTTAATCACAAGGTTTCAAGATGGTCAAAGCCTTCGCCCTGAAGCGGTTGACTTTTATCACTCGAAATGTGCCCTTTTGCCTTTCAGAAGTTGCAGGAACGGCAAACTTTCCGTCTGAGGCCACGTAATTTCTCAGAATGTCGGGGGTTGCTGTGGAATGAAGCAGTCATGCAGTGGTGCCAGCAGAGCAGGACTTTGGGGGCAGTTTCAAATTACCCTACTGTACCACCGATGGCACAGGAGCGAGACTTCTGGGCTTGAAGGTATGCTAGGTTCATTAGTGGATCATCAGTGATCCTGGGTAGGCTACTTTGCCTAATCGCCTCACAAGGTTGTTGTGAAGCTAAAGTGCCCCTCTGAGCACCTGTAGGAGGATGTGAATGTCAGGTATAATGGTTTAATTCACACTGAAATGGAGAATGCCTGTGTGTGTTGCTGAAAGGGTTCAACTGGAAGATTTCATTGATGCTAAAGAAGAAGAACAGGAGCTCTCTAAGCACCTGGATGGGTTGGTAATTAATTGTTGTTCTCTGCTCTGTCACATGCCTGACTTAGATCACATGAAAGAGAAAGGAATACACTTTAAGGTAAAGGGTAAAGGGACTCCTGACCATTAGGTCCAGTCGTGACCGACTCTGGGGTTGCGGCGCTCATCTCGCTTTATTGGCCGAGGGAGCTTCCGGGTCATGTGGCCAGCATGACTAAGCCGATTCTGGCAAACCAGAGCAGAGCACAGAAACGCCATTTACCTTCCTGCCAGAGTGGTACCTATTTATCTACTTGCACTTTGACGTGCTTTCGAATTGCTAGGTTGGCAGGAGCAGGGACCGAGCAACGGGAGCTCACCCCGTTGCGGGGATTTGAACCACAGACCTTCTGATCAGCAAGTCCTAGGCTCTGTGGTTTAACCCACAGCACCACCCGCGTCCCTTTTACACTTTATGCATATGTTAATTGGTGGGTCTCCATTTTGTGTTTTAGCCTTTCTCTGAATGCCACAAGAGGTGTAAATGAGTCTCCTGAAGGGAGAGAAAATGGAGACTGTAGGAAGAAAGAGATCTTTGCTTCTAGGTCTGTTTGGAATTGCCTTTGATTTCTAAGATGCTGGACATGCACAAGATATTGTGTGGAATTATTAGGATGCATTTTAAATATTTTTGTTGTGTTTTGAAGATGGTTTTGCAAGGGAAGCCTGACTCAAACTTATGGGTCTGGACAATGTTTTATTCCAAAAGGATTCAGTCTTTATGCATCCAGTTGCTCCAAGCAGCACATTATTGATATATGCAACAGAGAGTGCCTCTGACCATGTGCAGAGAGATCATTTCACTTCCCACTGAATACCCATATCTTGTATGGGTAGGTTCCCTGCCCCTCTCCTCCTTATGGAATCCACTATTAAGGTGATGGCTACTAGCATAGAAGGCATTGAAAGGGGAGACTGGACCATTGATAGCGAACCTGTGTCCTCCCTAAATTGTTGGACTTTAACTCCCATCAGGCTCAACCAGCATGGCCAGTAATCAAGGCTGATGGGAGTTGTCGTCCAACATCATATGGGTAGCCCCAAGTCCCTCATCACTAAGCAAATTCAAGAAGACTGATGTATTGATGGCTATCAACAATAGCTAAAGGAACCCACATGTTCAGTAGAAGTCTACTCTTAAATGTAAGAGGTTGAGGAGATATGCAATGTGTGTGGCTTGTGAGCACCTAAGGAGAGCTAAGAATAAAGCTTCCTTGTACAGGGGCAGTGTACCTCTGAACCAGCTGCTGCAGACAGGCAGAGGTGGACAGTTGTTTCCCGTAGGAATCTGGCTGACTACTGCTGGCCATAGAACGCAGCTCTAAATGGAGCTTGTTCTAACCTATCAAAACCATTCTTAATTTATTTAGCCCTAAGTTTTGCCATGGATCACACTTTATATCCCGGATAAATATGAATGCACTTAAGAAGGGTTGGGTGGTTTTTTTTGTTTTAATGTTGCTGCTGTTTCTTTGGATTTTGTTCCAGGACAGAGGGTAAGAAAGAGTCACCACAGACTTATATGAAAAGAGAGGGCTTTACAATGAAAAAAACACTAAAAACTAAAAATGGAAAACTTGTTCCAATTTAACAGCAGCTTTTATTAGCTGGGGGTTGTCCTGCCTGATTAATGACCACTTCCCTTTGAAAGTACAGGAGGCGTTTCGAGACACCAAGAATAAGTGGGTTCCTTCAAACGTCCAGCTTCCTCCAGGATTTACTGTAGAAAGATTTAATACAATTCAGCACAAACATTTTAACCTTTCCATCTAAAGTGTTGAATCCAACCATTTCCTGAATGGGCATAATTTAAAAGGCTGTCCTTTTCCTGGGTCAAGTTCTTGAAAGCGTTTAACGTTGCCAGGCTGCTCTGGAGTCCTTTAAGAAAACACCGAGCGAGCATGCAGCCTCGTTGAAATAAATCAGAAATGTTTATTTTATGAATGAAAGAGGAAACTAAATACCCAAATAAAGTCCTACATCTCCACGCCAGGAGCTAACTGCCCTTTTAAATTTCCTTGCTCTCCTGAAGGAGGCTTTAAAGGTGATTTATGGAGCAAGGGACCTTTACATACTGCTGACTAAGATCCCAGGAGAGCCTCTGAGTTAAAAGGAGTGCCTTCTGCAACATTTTCAACTTTTATTGGAGAATATCATGTAGGGTGTGTGTGTGTTTGCAAATGTTGCCTCTCCCCGCCACCACCTGAACTTCTCTATAGAGGGACGCCACACGGGTGGCGCTGTGTCTAAAACAGAGGTCAGCAAACTTTTTCATTGGGGGCCGGTCCACTGTCCCTCAGACCTTGTGGGGGGCCGGACTATATTTTGGAAAAAAATATGAACGAATTCCTATGCCCCACAAATAACCCAGAGATGCATTTTTAATAAAAGGACACATTCTACTCAGGTAAAAACATGCTGATTCCCGGACCATCCGTGGGCCAGATTTAGAAGGCGATTGGGCTGCATCTGGCCCCCAGGCCTTAGTTTGCCTGCCCATGATCTAAACCACTGCACCTCTTGGGCTTGCCAATCATAAGGCCGGCGGTTCGAATCCCCATGATGGAGCAACCTAGCAGTTCGAAAGCACACCAGTGCAAGTAGATAAATAGGTACCACTGTAGTGGGAAGGTAAACGGCGTTTCCGTGTGCTCTGGTTTCCGTCACAGTGTCCCGTTGCACCAGAAGCAGTTTAGTCCTGCTGGCCACATGACCTGGAAAGCTGTCTGTGGACAAACACCAGCTCCCTTGGCCTGAAAGTGAGATGAGCACCACAACCCCATAGAAACCTTTGACTGGACTTAATCATCCAAGGGTCCTTTACCTTTAACCTATAGAGGGAGACAAAGAGATGACTTCCATGTATCTCAGCTAGGGTACCCCTAGTTGCCCCCTGCTCATTAATTCATGGAACCATTGAATTGTAGAGTTGGAAGGGACACTGAGGGTCATCTAGTCCAACCCCATTGAATTGTAGAGTTGCAGGGGGTTGCAACTCTACAGTTCTATGATTCTAAGACCCTATGCTCTACCAGCTGAACTATCCTGGCACCCCAAATTTTAAAAACCCATGGTCTTTTAAACTTTGTGCATACGGAGTATTCTTTTTGTTACTATGGTATGTATTTTTGTTTTTTTATATTGTAAACTGCCCTGTGATCCTTGGATGAAGGGAAGTATAGAAATAACAACAACAACAACAACAACAACAACAACAACAACACACACTGGAGGTGATTCTGGAGAATAGACACATAGAATCCCAAGATTTGGGAGGGATCTCCAATCTCACTTAGACCCACCTGGGGGCAAGCGATTCAGGAAATCCATTGCTACTATATCCCTGATAGGTAGTCACCCAACTTCCAGAGTGTTTAGAGGACACACAGAAAAACTGTGCAAATTTGCTTGGCACCGTTCAGACAGGTTTCAGAACCCCCTTTTCTTGTTACAGAATTTGCATTTCCTGGAAACAGGACTTTGAGCTGTTTAATACCGAGCCTGCCTATTCCCTAAAAAGCTCGTTTCCAAATTGAAAAGGTCATAAATCTGAACGTGCCCTGGCCCATTCTCTGGGATTCCAGACTCTTCCACCGTCGCTGCTTTCGATCATCATGAAATCTTCTTGTTTGCTTTTTTTGCATGCTGAAGGAATGCTGTTGTTTTACGCAGTGTTCTGACACACATTGATTCAATAGTGGCCGTGTGTCGCTTTCCGGCATGGTATTAACTGTGGAACAGCTTCTTAAATTGCCCCCCTTAAAGATAAAGGTAAAGGGACCCCTGACCATTAGGTCCAGTCGTGACCAACTCTGGGGTTGCGGCGCTCATCTCGCTTTATTGGCCAAGGGAGCCAGCGTTTGTCCGCAGACAGCTTCCGGGTCATGTGGCCAGCATGACTAAGCCGCTTCTGGCGAACCAGAGCAGCGCATGGAAACGCCGTTTACCTTCCCATCAGAGCGGTACCTATTTATCTACTTGCACTTGACGTGCTTTCGAACTGCTAGGTTGGCAGGAGCAGGGACCGAACAACGGGAGCTCACCCCGTCGTGCGGATTCGAACTGCCGACCTTCTGATCGGCAAGTCCTAGGCTCTGGGGATGTCCCTATTTTCATCTGAGAAATGTTGGAGGGTATGCCACTTATTTAGAACACCTACTGCCTGAGGCAGGTCCCTCACTCTGGTTGTACCCGATTGTACATTGACTTCTCATTCAATCTTTGCATCGTGTACATCTAACTGAGTATGATTCCATTCTGCTCAGAACACTGAAAGCCAAGACATCTTCCGGGAGTGATCCAACCTTCCTAAGCCTTCAGAAAGTATTCCCCCATCCATCCACCCACCCTGCTTGCCCTTGCTGGGAGTTTTCTTCAGTATCTCATCCTGCTGTAATAATGAATGGCTACAGTAATGCGGACGTGATTGACACATTAAATGCCTCTACTTGAGCCAAACAGATTATTGGATGATAAATGTCCGAAGGCCCATGTAAATGGTTTGGATTTCCTTCTTCTCCAGCCCCTGGGGCTCAGCATGCTCCATGCAGCGGGGTCAGGCTGGGTTCGTATCTTTGCTTTCCCTGCCAATTTCCCGAGCAGAGCTCGGCGGATAAATGAGGCTTCTGCAGCAATGCCTGCGCACTTGGGCCACAGAGCTCCTCGCTGCAGCATATGGCTTTAATGTTTATAAGCTCGTCGCTTGGCACACGATATTTCAGCCCCATGTCCAAACACAACAATTTGACATATAGCTTTATTTATGTAAAGGGATGCTATCGGAGTCTTTCGGAGAGCCAGTGTGGTGTAGTGGTTGAGAGCGGTAGTCTCCTAATCTGGGGAACCGGGTTCGCATCTCCGCTCCTCCACATGCAGCTGCTGGGTGACCTTGGGCCAGTCACACTTCCTTGAAGTCTCTCAGCCCCACTCACCTCACAGAGTGTTTGTTGTGGGGGAGGAAGGGAAAGGAGAATGTTAGCCGCTTTGAGACTCCTTAAAGGGAGTGAAAGGCGGGATATCAAATCCAAACTCTTCTTCTTCTTTCCCCATCCCAATTGGCTGCCAGTGACTCGGGCTGCGAAAGGGGGCGGGCTTCTCCACCCGGGTCAGATGCCGGCACTACGGCTGCTGCTCCCAGTAGGTTCAAAATTCTTCCTCAGTTGCGACAGGAAAGTAGAGCAGAACCATTTTGAAGAAGATGATTATGGAGGGGGAGATTTGGCCCATATTCACATCAGCAAGTCTTTCTGTAGGGATTGCATCTGGAGCAGGGATGTGTGAATCTGTCCATCTTGGCCCTTCTCCACTTCTCATTTTCCCAATCTTAACCTTGGTTCACAACATTTGTTTGTTTGTTTGTTTATGCCAATTAATTTTTATTCATTCCCCAAATTTATAACACATCAATGTGAAATTAAAACTAATTTAATACAATTTCCCCAAAAACTGGCTTCCCACTCTCTTCCTTGGGTATTTCCATTTCTTCCCCTATTACATGCTGCTTACATTACAAATTTATCTCTAATTTGCGCCCATTTTTTAAAACAAATATCCTTATCTCTTAGCTGTCCCTTTTCCAACTCCTGTGTTTGCCACATTTTTGCATCCATTTGTAATCATTGCTTGAAAGTTGTAGAACCACACAATTGTAGAGTTGGAAGGGACATTGGTGGTTGTCTGTCACCTGCCTGGCCCAGGCAACCCACGCTATGCCACTGGCTACAGAACTATACTATATCAAACGGTCAGTTTGGGGAGGAGGGTTAGAGAACCTTCCTGCATTGTAGAATTGTAGAGTTTCAAGGGACACTGAATGTCATCTAGTCCAACCTCCTTCAGTGCAGGAATCTCAACTAAAGCATCCAGGACAGATGGCCGTCCCAGCGTCTCCTTAAAAACCTCCAAGGATGGGGAGTCCTCCTGAGCATCTTAATGGGCAACAGCTGTGTACTTTTCTTATGAAGTGAGAATGGCCAGAATTCATAAGAACGTAAGAGCTTGCAGGATCAGGCCAAAAGCCCATCTGTCCAGCACCCTGTTCTCACAGTTGTCATCTAGATCCCTGCGGGAAACCCACAAGCAGAAGTCGAGCCCTGTGGTTTCCAGCAACTGGTATTCAGAAGCTTTGCTGCCTCCAGCTGTGCAGGTAGAACACAGCCATCATAGCTTGCAGGCATTGAGAGCCTCCTCTTCCATGAATTTGTCTAATCCTCTTTTAATCCAGTATATCTGAAGGAGCGTCTCCACCCCCATCGTTCTACCAGCATACTGAGGTCCATCTCCGAGGGCCTTCTGATGGTTCCCTCACTGTGAGAAGCCAAGTTACAGGGAACCAGGCAGAGGGCCTTCTCAGTAGTGCCGCCCTCCCTGTGGAATGCCCTCCCACCAGATGTCAGAGAGAACAACTACCAGACTTTTAGAAGACATCTGAAGGCAGACCTGTTTAGGGAAGCTTTTAATGTTTGATGTATTACAGTATCTTGATATTTTTTTGGAAGCCGCCCAGAGTGGCTGGGGAAAACCAGCCAGATGGGCGGGGTATAAATAAATTATTATTATTATTATTATTATTATTATTATTATTAAAGCCACCGAAATTTGTGGTCGTCACAGTTTCCTGCAGGAGTGAGTTCTGTGGTTTAATTTGCAAATTCCAAACTGAATCTTCACCCCCACCCCCAGTGGCGGAGTTTCATGCTCCAGCACCGGGGGGGCGGAGAGCAGGTGGGGGTGGGGCTGGCGCGCATCCCGGGGGTGTGGCGGGTGTCCTGGGGGCGTGGCATGGCGTGCCGCCTGCAGGAGTCTGGCATGCCACCTGGGGGTGTGGCACGCTGCCTGCGGGGGCGTGGCTCCCAGCATGGGCAAGGGGGCAGCCACGATGGCACTCCACTGGGATCGTGGTGTGCCACTGGGGGTGGTGTGCTCCCCCCAAACTCCTCTTCCTCTGCCACTGCACACACCTGTTTCTTTATCCAGTTTTCTTCAATGCCCATCCCACACAGACCTTCCAGGAAAGCAAGAAGCTTTATCTGAGTTCAGGATCATAACCAACTCAGCTAAAGTACTCAAGGAAGGTGCAAAGCGGGACCAGTAAGGGGTGGGGGGAAGGCGTGTGGCATGAGGAGAGTTCTGAGGGACAGGCAGAGAAGCACCCCTGTCCTAGATGCACATAGGGACGTGCGCTTAGGACCGCACTTGTATTTCACAAAGCCTAGGGACGTGGGTGGTGCTGTGGGTTAAACCACAGAGCCTAGGACTTGCCGATCAGAAGGTCGGCGGTTGGAATCCCCGCGACGGGGTAAGCTCCCGTTGCTCGGTCCCTGCTCCTGCCAACCTAGAAGTTTGAAAGCACATCAAAGTGCAAGTAGATAAATAGGTACCGTTCCGGCGGGAAGGTAAATGGCGTTTACGTGCGCTGCTCTGGTTCGCCAGAAGCGGCTTAGTCATGCTGGCCACATGACCCGGAAGCTGTATGCTGGCTCTTTCAGCCAATAAAGCAAGATGAGCACCGCAACTCCAGAGTCGGCCATGGCTGGACCTAATGGTCAGGGGTCCCTTTACCTTTACCTTTAAGGACTTCTACCCAGAGCGAGAATGCAACCTGTTTACCCCCTCTCCCTCTGAGAAGGAAAGCCGACTCACAAACCGAAGGACAAAAAAGCACTTCTGTGAATACTCCACCAGAACTTCCTCCTGAAAGCAATTAATTGTGGAAGCATGACGGGCTCTCTGCAATGTCCTAGTCCGCACTGCGCAGCACAATGTCAGAGCAGACAATAGCAGCTAAAAATATCCTGTGACAGGAATTTGCCTGGAATGTTTTTCGGCTTGGTAGATGGAGAGGTTTTATATATAGTCGAGGGGCAGGAGGGTAAATGGGGTTTGCTGGTTTATCTGTGTGGAAGAGATCTTATTTTTAGGCCTATGAAGCTGGGTGCAGGGTGTTTATTTTTAAGTTATTCCTGTAATGCACCCTCCAAAGTCACACAGCAGCAAGCGTGGGGCTTCCACAACCCTCTTACAACCAATACAACAATTGTACAGGCTACCACAACGTTTCACTTAGATGGAGTGCATTCCTCAGAGTGACTTCCTCTCACCAGTAAATAATCTCCATCTATCCTCCGGCCAGCATATGAGTCTAGCTTGGTTTTTAACATAGGCTCCATTCAAGAAACATGGGGTGGCTTTTCCATGTCCCTGTCTGTGATCTTATTCATTTTATACTGCCTGCTTCTGCTGGTCCCCTTTTCCAGTGGCAGCTCCTGGCCTGCAGATTGCTCTTCCCAGAGAAGCGCGCCTGGAGCCATCTTCATCTGTTTTTAGGTACCAGGCAAAAACATCCCTTTTTAACCAGGCTTTTGGTCCCGAATTTGAGGGGTTTCAGATATATGTTGCCTCTTTTTGTGGGGAAAGATCTGTAAGGCCAGACTTTTATCTACACGGATGTGGTTTTAGGTTTTTATTGGATGTGTGTGTTAAAATTGGTTTTAATGTTTGTGAAATATACTCGGAGTCGAGTGTGGATTTCATGCTCTTTATTCAGCTCATAGAAGTGAGGAGGAATGAAAGTTCCGCCACAATATCTGCTTTATATACATTATTTACACAATGGGCCCCACATGACTGGCTAGTTCCAGGATTCTCCTGTAGGCCAATCAGGTTGCGGATTCACTTCCACCTGGAGCTGGATTGGGTGGCTCCTGTGGACCAATCAGACTGCTGCATTCTGGGTCCTATTGTTCTAGGACCAATCAGACTGCTGCATTTTGGATCTTATTCAACTCAGTACATAAGAGTTTGCTCTATTTTTGTAGGTCACTTTGTGAGGAAAATTACTAAATAACAACAAGAGGCTGGGCACCCTTAAAGATACAGTGCCCCTCTAGGACTCATTACTGCTACCCTGACACTCAGTACTTGTCTCTAGAGAAGTGGTTCCCAACCTTTTTTTCGGCCATGCCCCACCTAAGCATCTCTAAAATTCTGGTGCCCAACCCCCTCTGTGGCATATAATTCTTATTATTAAAAAAGCGAACTCCTATTCACATGGAGGAAGCCTAAAAGGCCATTAACTTGGACTAAGGTAAAAGGTAAAGGGACCCCTGACCATTAGGTCCAGTCGCAGACAACTCTGGGGTTGCGGCGCTCATCTCGCTTTAATGGCCAAGGGAGCCGGCATACAGCTTCCAGGTCATGTGGCCAGCATGACCGAGCCGCTTCTGGCAAACCAGAGCAGTGCTCGGAAGTGCCATTTAACTTCCCACCGGAGCGGTACCTATTTACCTACTTGCACTTCGTGCTTTTGAACTGCTAGGTTGGCAGGACCAGGGACCGAGCAACGGGAGCTCACCCCATCGTGAGGATTCGAACCGCCGACCTTCTGATCGGCAAGCCCTAGGCTCTGTGGTTTAACCCACAGCGCCACCCATGTCCCATTTAACTTGAACTAAACAAGCTTCCAAATTGCCCCCCTTAAAAATCAATTTGCCCCCCTGTGTGGCATGTGCCCCACGTTGGGAACCACGGCTCTAGAGGAAGCTTATACCGGGTGAAGTTATTTGCCTAGCTAGCTCACTGTTGTCTATTTTGACTGACAGCAGAACCTGGAGCTGAAGTCTTTCCAATCAGCTGCCATCTCACCCTCTTAACTGGAGATGGCATGGACCAACCGGGGATCTTCTGCATGCAATCATCTGCTCTGCTACCAAGCTATTCCTCCCTTCCTCCCCCACCAAGCTGGCCATGTGCACTGACTTCAGCCTCAATATGTGTGCCATGGTGTGCTCCACGGCTCCAGGCCAGAGAGGTCATTGGCTGCCACTACTGTCCGTGACAAGCGTAAGAGTCAAACTCTCTTTATCTTTGAGGGTCAGCTTTATCAGCTTCTCCCATCTGGATGGTGTGCAAATGCGCCCATTGGGAGCTTTGCATTTCGGTGTCCCAAATTGTGCAGTCTTGTGGGAAATGACCTGCATTCTTCCAAAGAAGAAAAACAGCTTGAGGCTCCCTCTGCTGACTGGTTTTGAAAATGCTCCGGACATGAGAGAACGAAGACGGTTCCAATGAACAAATCTTTGGCTGTGGGTGCGCATTCCCTTTTAACTCCAGCTCTGGTGTGCTCCTGTTGCTGGTGTTTGAAGTCGAGTACACATAGCTCTAGTTGCAATCCACAGGCATGCCGTTGTTTCTTGAGAAACACTCGTTTTTGCTGTGTTTCCCCTCAAATTGGCTTCCATTTGATTTGAAAATGCCAGCTGCAGTCCAACCGAGGTGTGGGCATTTGAGGCAGCCATTGCAGGTGTGCCAATGACATCACATGAGCAGGTGACAACTTCATTGAATAGGAGTTCTGTGCAGGTAAGCGAATAATGCAATGTGCGCCAATTAAGACACCCCTGCCTCTCCTCTGGTGTGTACAACCAGTGGCAGACTTGGGGACTTTGGCAAGGACAAAATTTGTCACACACACACACACACCAGCCCTTGCCCTGCCTTTCCAAAGGTGGGTAAGGAGGCACCCAGCTTTAGGGAGGAGGTGTGAGGGCTCTGGCAGGGTCCCAGAGCCCTCCCTCCTCCTCGCCCCAGCTGGTAAAGTGCTAACTAGGACCTGGGAAGGAGGAGGGAAGAATCTAGGACTCTAGGCCCCTGTTAGTGCCTCCTGCCTCCTTCCCAAAGCCCAGTGCCTTACTTACCAGGCTTTGAGATGGCACCTCCTCAGCTCAGCGGTGGTACAGCAGCGAAGAAAAGTGATGGGAATTGCAGCCATCAGAAACGATGTCGCTGAATAGCAGTTGCTGGCAATGCCAGTGTAGAAAGTGCTATTGCACTCCGGTCCTTATCTCAGGCTTTCTGTAGGCACTGGTAGAACAAGATGCTGGACTAGATGGTAGAACAGGATGCTGTTAAAAACACTAGATGGGCTACTGGCCTGATCCAGCAGGACTCTTCTTATATTCGTAGAATCATAGGATTGTAGAGTTGGAAGGGCCCCCAAGGGTCATCTAGTCCAACCCCCTGCAATGCAGGAATCTCAGCTAAAGACTCCATGACAGATAGCCACCCAGTTTTCTTGATAGCTATGCTTTACCTTCTTAAACAGGCATAGGCAAACTCCGGCCCTACAGAGGTTTGGGACTACAGTTCCCATCATCCCTGACCACTGGTCCTGTTAGCTAGGGATGATGGGAATTGTAGTCCCAAACATCTGGAGGACCGGAACTTGCCTATGCCTGTTCTTAAGGTTATATCGGTATACTCCTGTCCAGCACATAGTTAAGTTGAGGCTTATTGTCTGTTTTGAACCCAAAGCACTGCTGGAGAGGTTGCAGCTCTGAGCAGGAGAATGGTCAGCGGGTGGGAGAGGGAGTTGGTTGCTTAACCCTTCCCCACCCACCCAGTTTTTCGCCATGCAGGAAGGTTGGAATATTGACTGGGAAGACAACTGCAGAGGACAGGGCCAATCAAATCTCACCCTTCATGCAACTCCAAGTCCTGTCTGGTTCGGGCATAGGCAGTCAAATGCAGGCCTTGGAGAAGCCATGCTTGTCTGGAGTCTCCTCACCACGTCACTGGCAACGCCCTTTGGGCCACGGCTTCTGAAAGATTAGAGAGACAAAGGATGCTGAAATCCATGGTGGTGGAGCATGTAACATTGGTGTTGGCTCCTGATGCAATCAATCAAGCTATGTGCTTTTTCAAAGGCAAACATACTTCGGGTGTTCGTTATCGCTTACATATACACAAAGCCAGACACAAGGCAGCCCAGTCAAACTTCATTAATCCATGTGTGGGTTGCAACCAGCGTATCTGACTCGGCCTGCGGCTTCTCTGAATCATACCTGCACTTTGGTCCACATGCCGCCTCTGATACTGTTGGTAATGGGAGCACAGTAGTTATAGCCTGGCCATCTTGAAGGAACAAGGAACTTCAGTAAGGCTTCGCTTCATGCATAGGATGTTGTTGGAAAACATCTTGCGGTGTCGTCTTCCTTGCTCTCTTGGCAGGATCTACTTTCCAAGTGAAGGCCTGAACTAGACATTATGGGTGATATCCACTGTTAGCTGCACTCAGGCTCACTGAACTCAATTAAGGCTCCTGCCCCCAAAGTATCCTGGGAACTAAAGTTTGTTAAGGGTGCTGGGAGTTGCTAGGTAAAGATAAAGGGACCCCTGACCATTAGGTCCAGTCGTGGCCGACTCTGGGGTTGCGGCGCTCATCTCGCTTTATTGGCCGAGGGAGCAGGCATACAGCTTCCAGGTCATGTGGCCAGCATGACTAAGCCGCTTCTGGCAAACCAGAGCAGCACACGGAAACGCCATTTACCTTCCCGCCAGAGTGGTACCTATTTATCTACTTGCACTTTGACATGCTTTCAAACTGCTAGATTGGCAGGAGCTTGGACAGAGCAACGGGAGCTCACCCCGTCGCGGGGATTCAAACCGCCGACCTTCTGATCGGCAAGTCCTAGGCTCTGTGGTTTAACCCACAGCACCACCTGCATCCCTGGGAGTTGTTAGGAGACCCTAGGAGACCCCTATTTCCTCCACAAAGCCACAGTTCGCAGCTTCTCTTTCTTCCTGAGGAACTCTGCAAACTCTAGCTAAGCGGCAGAACAACTTGCATGAAGAAGGCCCCAGATTCAGTCCCCAGCATCTTGAGGTAGGTTTGGAAATGTCCATTACCTGAAATCTTGGTGAGTCACTGCCAATCAGTCTAGGT